TGGAGCCAAATATAGAGGAATTTGCAAATAATTTTTAGAGAGAGAACAGTTTAAGCACTTGACCAAAAGAATGTCCCAACATACCAAATTATCTTTTAGGAAGGTTACTCTGATGTTGCTACACAGGCTATATTTTCATTGGGAAGAGGGACAGAGATTTGTTGGGAAGCTGTTCGCAGGATTTCCAAGGGAAGGTGATTAAGTCTGAACTATACTAATGGTAGTAGTGATAAAAAATAAACCAGATTCCACAGATATTTTTATTTATTTTTTTTAATTTTTTATTTTTTGGTTTTTTCTCCAGTACTGGGAACCGAACTCACGACCATGCGCTTGCCAGGCAGGTGCTTTTGCCGCTGAGCTAAATCCCCAGCCCCTCCACAGATATTTTTTTTCTGGTTTTTCTCCGGTACCGGGAACCGAACTCACGACCTTGTGCTTGCCAGGCAGGCGCTTTTGCCGCTGAGCTAAATCCCCAGCCCCTCCACAGATATTTTTAAAAGGATTCTTAGAAGGAGGAAAACTCACTTCTCAAGTGAATGGAAAGTGCATTGCCAAAGCTACCAGTTTTCAGAGTCAGCTTTGATGTGCTTGTGCCTAGCACTGTGCCAGGACTACCACAAAGAGGCCACACCAGAAACTGAAAATTGCTGTTCACTGTTCATGGGGGTTTCATAGTCTGGACTAGGACAAACTGGAGTCAGCCAGAAAGGGGGTTTGTTAGAGGATAAAGAAATAGCCATTTTTAACAATATTATCTTAAATTGCCTTTTTCTTTTCCAAGCTGGTGATAGCTTATTGGATATAAGTTCTGAAGCTGACCAACAAGATCTTCTTGTCCTACTGCAAGCAAAAGTTGCTTCCCTTACCTTACACAATAAAGAGTTACAAGATAAATTACAGGTAGGTAAGCAGGTGCTACCACCGATTATTCTGTGGAGTTGTTTTTGGTATTTTTAAGGGTAGTCAGGTGTATTTTGTTTTAAATACATACATTTCTTCCTTTTTAAAAACCAGGCCAAGCATGGTGGCATACACTGTAATCCCAGTACTTGGGAGGCTGAGGCGGGAGGATCATTTTGAGTTGGAGACCAGCCTGGGCTACAAAGTGAGCTCAAGGCCAGCCTGAACTGCATAATGAGACCCTGTCTCAAAAAGACAAAAAACAAAACAAAAAAACAAAACAAAAAAAGAACGTTAACTTTAAGAATTTTATGATTTCATATTATTTTGTTCCTTGAGAGTGGTGTTCATTGATTCTATTTATGTAAATTGCCAAATTACATATAATTATATGTATTATATGTGGCAATCATATATATTATCAAATTTAAATATATGTTGTATAAACAAAATTTATTTACAGAAATAAAACATTTAAATGTCTATGTACATACATGTGATAATAATTTATATATACAGAATTTTTTTTTATTTTAGTGAGAGTAGTACATGAGAAACAAACAAAAAATAGAACAGTAGCAGCATACCAGTGTCACAAACATAAACAAATCAAAGCAAGAACATTCAGTGATACAGGGTCTCAAGACAAATTAATACAAATCAACAGTGGTTGTTACATTGCATATCGCTATCCTCAACGACATTGCTCAGATTATCAGATGTAAGAATGAAAGATTGCTCAAACCATTAAAGAGAATAAGCAAATAATTCTCAATAAAACATTAGAGATAATACAGAGTTCCACTAGACAAGATGGTAGGAGTTCACCATTGTAATTCCATTGCATATTGTTACCTTCAAATCAATACACAGAATTTTATATTTAAATTTTTATATACATAAAATTTTTGAGATAAGGGCTTCACTGTGTTGCCCAGCCTGACCTTGAACTCATGATCCTCCTTCTTCAGCTTCCTAAGTAGCTAAGATTACAGATGTGTGCCACTACATCCAGCTATATTGAAATTTTTATACTCAAAAATGTAAATATTTGTATAAAGGTAAATATACATGTATAAATATATGCACGTATATACATGTATCATTTTAGTCATTCCTTTAGTAAAGCTGACTGACCATCTAACAGTCTTACAAACTTGATAAGAAATAACTATGGTATGCCCATCCCCAACAAGTAGAATATGAGAAGCGGAGGAAAAATTTGAATCAGGGTTTTCAGACAAAACAATTCCAGTGACACAAAAGGACACAAATAATATGTCCTCATAGAACACATAATGCTCTTTGTGTCATTAATCCAACTCTCATGTTCCAGACTGTATTTTCTTTAATCATGAAAGAATATACCTGTGAGCTGGAAATGGTGGCACATGCCTATAATTCCAGCCCTCAGGAGGCAGAGCCAGGAGTGGTTTCTGTGTGAGTTCAAGGTCAGCCTGGATACATCGTGAGACCCTTTCTCAAGAAAATCAGAAAAACAAAAAGAATACCTGTATAAAATGATCATGCTGCTCTTCTGTACCTAAATTTCAGATTTGTTCCTTTCATTCCAGTTGGTTGCTCACTTAAGCACACTTTTTAAAAATTTTATTTCATTTTATTTTATTTATTTATTTTTTTTGGTTTTTCTCCGGTACCGGGAACCGAACTCACGACCTTGCGCTTGCCAGGCAGGTGCTTTGCCGCTGAGCTAAATCCCCAGCCCCAAAATTTTATTTTAAAGAGAAAAAAAAACAAAACCAAAAAAACCCCATAAAGTCAAAAACAAAACAACAAAAAGCAATAAAAATGTACAGAATTTCAAAACAAGATGACAGGAAATTAACAGTAGTTGTTATAGGCCTGGGGATTTAGCTCAGTGGCATAGCGCCTGCCTGGCAAGCGAGACATCATGAGTTTGATTCCCGGTACCGGGGAAAAAAAAAAAATAGTTGTTATATTACATATTGTTATCTTTAAAGTAGTTGCTCAGATCACCAGACATAGGCATACAAGATCAATAAGACAATTAAGCATTAACTATTCCTTTCAGCAAACCAATAGAAATTAGTACAGTTATCCCATTTATCCTATGTGTGTGTGTGTACATTTGCCCCCCTTCTTTTCCTCTTTCCCCATCCCAGCTGTTCCTTCCTTTTTTCTCCTTCATTTTCCCTTTCCCCATCACAGTTTGTCTTTTCTTTTAAAGCACACCTTTGATGCCATTTAATTCTTGCCTTTTGTCCTCCCAGGCCAAATCACCCAAGGAGACAGAAAGAGACCCAGGCATTGACTCTTTCCTTTCTACTCAGTCTGATTTGGCCCCTTCCCTGGGCAAACCTAGTGATGCTGATCCCCCAGACTCCAAATCTTCTCCATCAGGTGTAACACATTCTTCGGGGAAAACTACTGCAGATAGCAATATCAGAATTCAGCAACTACAGGAGAGTTTGCAAGACTTGCAGAAGAGATTGGAGAGCTCTGAGACAGAGAGAAAACAGCTACAGACCGAGCTCCAAACCCGAAGGACAGAACTAGGGTGCTTGAACAACACAGAGCTTTCAGAGAATGGCTCTGACCTCAGTCAGAAACTTAAAGAAACTCAGAGCAAGTATGAGGAAGCTATGAAAGAAGTCCTCAGTGTGCAGAGGCAGATGAAGCTGGGGCTCCTGTCACAGGAGAGTGTGGATAGCTATTCCTGTCTCCATGAGCTGAGGGTCAGCGATGAGAAAATAGATGTGCTAAAGCGAGATTTGCAGAATGCATTAGAAGAAAGTGAAAGAAACAAAGAGAAAGTAAGAGAGCTGGAGGAAAAACTTGTGGAGAGAGAGAAAGGTGCAGTGATGAAGCCACCTGCGGAAGAGTATGAGGAAATGAAAAGTTCATATTGCTCTGTCATTGAGAATATGAATAAGGAGAAAGTGTTTTTGTTTGAGAAATACCAAGAGGCCCAAGAAGAAATAATGAGATTGAAAGATACACTAAAAAATCAGATGACACAAGAAGTGAGTGATGAAACTGGGGACATGAAAGAGGCCATGAACAGGATGATAGATGAACTTAATAAACAGGTGAGTGAGCTGTCGCAGCTGTACAAAGAAGCCCAGGCTGAGCTGGAAGATTACAGGAAGAGGAAGTCTTTAGAGGATGTAACAGCTGAATATATTCACAAAGCAGAGCATGAGAAACTTATGCAGGTGTCAAACGTATCGAGGGCTAAAGCAGAAGAGGCACTGTCTGAAATGAAGTCTCAGTATTCAAAAGTGTTGAATGAGTTGACCCAGCTCAAACAACTGGTAGATACACAGAAAGAGAATTTTGTGTCTATCACAGAACATTTGCAGGTGATAACCACTCTGCGGTCAACTTCGAAAGGGATGGAAGAAACAATAGGCAGTCTCAAAGAGCACCTTGCAAGCAAGGAGCTGGAAGTGGCAAAGTTGGAGAAGCAACTTCTGGAGGAGAAAGCTGCTATGACAGATGCAATGGTACCCAGGTCTTCCTATGAAAAGCTCCAGTCATCTTTAGAGAGTGAAGTGAGTGTGCTAACACTGAAGCTAAAGGATTCAGTAAAAGAGAAAGAGAAAGTCCATTCAGAGTTTGCCCAGGTTCGAAGTGAAGTCTCACAGGTGAAAAGGGAAAAGGAAAATATTCAGACTCTCTTGAAATCCAAAGAGGAAGAAGTAAGTGAACTTCTGCAAAAATTCCAGCAAGCTCAGGAAGAAATTGCAGAAATGAAAAGATATTCTGAGAGCTCTTCAAAAATGGAGGAGGATAAAGATAAAAAGGTTGGTAATAATTCTGTTTTTGTTGGGTTTCTAGCGCAAAGCCCCAGGCCCTTCAATCTTTACTGTAGTAAACATATATAGGATTTTTTTTTGGCACTAAATTGTTGTGAACGCTCAGAGTCTGTACGTGACCATATCTGCCCCCATAAAGAGTAATATGTTGGATACTGCTTTCAGTAAGCACCCATCTTCATCTACTTCTCCTTATGCTAAAGTGTTTTCATGTATGTGGTGCATATTTACCCTTTAAAAGTCATTTTCTAGAAGTCTGCCAGTGTTGGGTAGAAGCATCTGAAAAGCGTGAACTACCTTGAACTTCAGGTTTTCTCTTTGGATGTGCTGGAAGCTGCTGCAGCAGCAGGTCAAACAGCGACAGGAATAGACTCCTTCATCATATAGAAAGCAAATACTCCCACATTTAATCTTGCTCCCCAAAGCTCCATGGGCTTCTTACCCTCTGAGTCAGTGGATCTGGTACAGAGAAGGGAGGGAAGCAAAGTGTTAAGTTAGGGATAGTTTTCACCTCAGTCTGTTGTGTGCCCTAATCCTCTGTGATTCAGGTTGTAAGTGGTATTAAAGCATAATTTATCTATATTTTGTGATGACTATGAGTATTTCAAAAAGGCTTCAAAAGCTTATGGGTGGGGACAGGGAACTGTGGTGTGAATTGGTTGCTGCTGACTGTCCGTGTCAGTAATATTGGATGAGACACAGTTCTTTCCAAATACAAAATTGTCTCCAATTCTACGTCTTATAGCCACACCCCTTTCAAGGGTAAAGGAAGGTCCTCATCTCTCATGCGCCAAAACATAATAAGTAATTCGTGGGCCATTATCAGAATGGAATAGATGTAGAGAACTCTGTTGGCTTGCCTTGTCTTGTTCTCTTCATTTTATGGGCTTTCTTTAAAAAACAGAAAATAAAAGGTATTCAAGTTCCAGAGAACTATGTTGGAGGCACAGAAATATCTGGAATTTTGCTTCTCTAAAGACGTTATTACCTATTTGATGCAATTTTTTTTTCTTACTAGATAAATGAAATGTCAAAGGAAGTCAGCAAGTTGAAGGAGGCCCTGAACAGCCTCTCACAGCTCTCCTATTCAACAAGCTCGTCCAAAAGACAGAGTCAGCAACTGGAAGTGCTTCAGCAGCAGGTCAAACAGCTACAGAACCAGCTGGCTGTGAGTAGGATCTTCCTGCTGCCTGGTTTTGGGTGGAGGACAAGGCAAATTATATACCTCTTCAGCTGTTTAGACAGGCCACTGTGGACAGAAAGGTTTCCTGTGTGAAGGAACGTTGCACTTAATTGAGCAATGACACTGATGGATTTTCTAGGCATCATCTGCAGTGAGATGAGTTAGATGTGTCATTGGAGGGAAGGAATTGGTAGGACAGTGGGAGGACACTGTTTGTTCACTCATCTGCCAACTTTTCACCCTTCTCCTTTTCCTGCAGCGGTCATTCACTATCTCTAGCAGTGGAAAGAGCTTTTTCTTATTATGGGCCAGCATCTCTGGTAGTTGCTTATCTACATAATTGAAGCTACTTCTTGGCCCCTTTCCTTATTTCACTTAGGAAAGTGCTTTCGTATCTGTATTAATTTCCTCTGGCTGTTGTAAGAAGTCACCACAAACTTGGTTTGAAACACATCAATTTATTATGTTAAAGCTCTAAAGACTATAAATCCTATAGCAGTTTCACTAGACTAAAGTCAAGGTGATGGCAAGGCTGGTTCCTTCCCAAGGCTCTAGGGGAGAGTTCATTTCCTTGACTTTCCGTCTAGAGACTACCTGCTTTCCCTGGCTTTTGGCCCCTTCCCCCCCTGGCACATCTCTTCAGCCTCTGCTTCTGTTCTTCTGTCTCCTTATTTTGCCTTTGAATTTCTTGCCTTGCTTTTTAAAGGACCTATGTGATTATAATTCAAACCTTATTCAGATGATCCATGCCAGTCTCTATCTCTAAATCCTTAATAACTTGTAAAAGATCACTTTGCCATATAAGGCTATAGTCACGGTTTTAGGGATTAGGATGTGGACATCTTTAGAGGGTCATTATGTAGCCTACCACAATACCTAGTAAAATTTTAATTGGAAGGATCTGCTATATTTTCTGCATGAATTCAGGGTTAGTCTAGCCTTGACTATCTCTAGCTTACACTAACAAACAGAATGTGAATGTCATGGTTTCTTTAGTTTAGACTTAACACTAGTGACTTCAGTTTTTCTGCATTCCTTAGCCTGGCTGATCACAAAGTACAATACTAGCTCATTGGTGTTACTAGCTCCAGCAGTGGTGGAAACTTTGGAGAAGATGATCTTTATGGGATCCTTCAGATCATTTTTTTAAGATGGTTTAGATTTGTAGATCAAGTGCTAATGGTTTCCAGTAGTAATGCAATCATTCAACATGTATTTATTTAGCTGCTACTATATATTAGTATTTCACATGAAGCCACTGATATTAAATGAATAGTCATTGATATGAAAATGAATAAGATAGTCTTGCTCTCAGAATTTATACTTGATATAAGTTAATATGGTAAGCATCCATTGATAAAAGGATCCCCACCATGTTGTTGGATGCAGGGGAAATATGTATACCCAACCTGGGTGAGTAACAAGAAGCATCCTACAGGAAGGGATGCTTGCCCTGAATCTTGAGGGGATGAGCCACTTACCCTTATTCAGTAAGGACTGAGGTATGTCACTTAGATGGCCATTTGTAACCTTAGCAACAACAATTCCAGTGGAGTGGTGGGATGGAATCTGCAGTACGCTGACTGCTAGAGAAGTGAATAAATAACTATCTGTTGGGCTGAAGAATCACAGCCAAAGTGGCCTGTAGTAGGTTGGCTGGAAATGTAGGAGATTGTGATTGAAAAGCTGGGATGCTTTCATTTGTGATTTCAGAGGTGGTAATGACACAGTCAGGATTATGACCAGGAGAGTATTTAAAGAAAGTGGAGCAAATAATTGAAGCTGAGGTTGAGGAACTTAAGAGATTTGGGCGTTAGGTGGACAGATATTAAAACAACCAAATGATGACAGAAGTAGGAGTGTAAAAGAACACAGTAATCAGGAGATAGTCATAAATAATTGTGTGGGGATAGCAGAAGGGTGGGAAGGAAACAACTCAAAGAGAAGTGTACGCCCACATGTACCTTCTTATGGCATGAACTTTAAAGAACTGAGATTTCAAAAGTTGTCTTTTAATAGGAAGACTCTCTCACCTTCTGATACTAATAGGAAATCAGAGTGGGTATTGATAGGCATTTATAAATTTCTGAAGTAATCCATTTGCGATTGTCTTGATTTTCATGAAGTAGGACAAGGCTGTTAGTATGACAAGAGTTCAGAGCTGAGTTAGTATTCTGGAAACAGTTGATGAGAGTAATCAGAGCAATGACTCACACAAGGAGAAATAAAAGTATCAACAGCTATACAGAAGAACCATTTGAAATTTGGGGCTACATCTTTTTTGTGTTAATGTACTAACAACTGAATATTTGAGCTCCCAAGGACTATGCAACACAACTATACAGTGGAAGATCAATAATGCCTTTAAAAAGAATAGAGTGCCTTTAAAAATAATAGCCTTTAAAAAGAATAAATATTTGGTCATTGCAGAAAAGTAGGGAAATATAGACAACTCTTAAAAAAAAACCCTATAAATAAAAATTGCTCATAATTCAACAATTCTGAGACAGTCATATTTTGCATTTGATCCTATTTCTTGGCAATATTTACTTTGAGTAAATGTGTCTCTGTATTTGCATAATTTGTGTATTTTATCTTTAAAAGAAACTTTGGGTTAACATTTTTACATAAATTTTCTTTTGGAGTTGACAACATGAAATAGGTAGAATGTTTCCTGAGAATACTGACAGCTATTCAGAAATACACAAGCCCACGAACTCAATGATTTTAGAAGCTTCCTATGCTAGTATATAGTGGAGGGAATCAGTTGTGCACCTTCTGATCTCAGTATTCTTATAGTTTTGTGTGTGTGTTTATCCCTTAAAGATCACCTAATATCACTAGTAATATCAGATTATCTCTTTCTAGGAATGCAAGAAACAACACCAGGAAGTCATATCCGTTTACAGAATGCATCTTCTGTATGCTGTACAGGTATGGCTATATAACACCCAGTGAAATATCTGGACATTCTAAAGAAATATAGCAGCAGGTATTACCCAAACTCCCACCATTATACTAGAAGAATCCTTTTCATTGGCAAATTTAAAAATGTCTTTTGCTTTGCTTCAGACTTTGTGTCAAAACTGTTCTGCTCTCTTTACTAGGAGCAGCTTCATCATTTATAGAGAAATGAAGGAAGATATGGTTTCTTCCTCCATCAAGAATACCCTAGCTTTATTTCCCAAGCATCCCTATATTCTTTGAGCCCCCAACACTATCTTACTCACATGACTTGATGCTCTGGCTAACTGGGCTTATACTTGTAACTAAGGCTCCCAATTTCCTTTGCTAAAGTCTTCAGTAGATCCAGCTTCCTCATCCTCCAGATGTATAAAATCAGAGCCCTCTTAGACTCAGTTCCTCATGGAAATGTGAAACTTGATGTGACTTTTGTCTTAAAGCCAGTCACTTCATTCCCCAGGGGAAAAAAATGACATGATCTAATTAATGTTCTAATAAATGTCTTTTGTGTGAATTTCCTAGGGCCAGATGGATGAAGATGTTCAGAAAGTACTGAAACAAATCCTTACCATGTGTAAAAACCAGTCCCAGAAAAAGTAAAGTGGATTCCTTGGCAAGACACTGCCCCTGTCCATCTTTGTGTTAGATCTGGAGTTGGTGGCGATCACTGCCATAATTCTCATTTGTGGTATGCACTGTGACCAGCATAGCTTCGTCCCTTTCCAAAGTTCCTGGGAACTGGCCCCAGGAGAAGGCTATCCTCCACAGAACTGCTTAGAGACTTCAGACCAGCAGAGGTGACAGTCCCAGTCATCCTTTCAGATTCCACAGCTGGGATTAGCCACACCTAGGGGTCTGCTCCTGGTGCTGGCAGGTGGTCAACCTGCTTGGTACCTGGACAGCTGCTGGCTTTATCACCACCAGATGATCTACAGAGGCCTACACGCAGTGAATGCTGCTTCGATTCTGCCCTTCACCTGTGCCATTCAGCATAAGAGAGCTTTTTTTGCCTTTGGCTTCAAGTCCCAAAACATGATTTAATTTCTAACCAAATTAGTAAGGCACCAGTTATGAAGTGCATGCTTAAGACCTTTCATCACGACAGCCTGTAAATTTAAAAGCTCTAATTCATAGTTTCTCCCCAGCTGCCTTATGTGTCTCATCACCCGGCTTGTCAATCTCAGTTTGATGAGCACTATTAACTAAAATATGAAGTTTAAAAACAAAAGCAAACTGTCCTTAAAAGTTTTTTCTTAAGTAAATCATTACCATATTACAAATTTTCTATGCAAACTTGGCTCCTGCTATTATC